AGCGAGTAACCTCAAGTCGTTGAAGTTACAACCGGGAACCGATTCCCTCATCCATCATCAATAGTGAAGGAGTTCAAGACATTCGGTAAATATTTTTACTAGTATTTACTTTATTGTAACAAATCAAAATTTGTATATGATGCATGTTTTAAAGATGACGATCAGTTAATTCGCAATTAGTATGTACGGGTGTTGTATTTATACGATAAATACTTACTTTAAAAATTTTAAATTCCGCTGCGTACAGCCCGTACGGTACTAGCGAACCCAACAAGAACGGCACCGGCAGGAACAACGGATCTAGAGACGAGGCCCTCTGCAAAGGCCGACAAGAGGTGTCACCCGAACTTGGACTACGAAAGCGACCTGAGCCAAGTCCACATCTGGCTCCGCACCCCACCCATCCTCACCACCCAGGAACGTCGGCGGCTTCACGCACAAATCAAAGAAATCTGCCAAAGACCACCGTATGCACCCCTCGATCAGAGACAATGGAGAAGAGTACCTCAAACAGAGACATGGACGGGCGACGGAGAGCTGTCCACCGGCGAGCCGCCGAGAGAGACATAGAACGGCGATGAAGACGAGGGTTACGGGCGAAGGATTTGGGGTTTTTTGGGGTAGAGAGAGAAAAAGACAATGCAAAACATTGTTAATTCACGACGATGAAATAACATTGTTAATTCACTTAGTTCTTTATTATAAATTATTATAATTGTTCCTTGTTTATATTTTCCAACTTCAACAAAATATATAAATATCTTTTCTTTTTTCATTTTTTGTTGTGTAATTAATTATTTTATCAACCACCTCTGTAGTACACGGGTATTGTACTAGTATATATTTATTAAAAGAATATAATTGTCTACTATTATGCTTGGATATAAATCAAAATCTAAATATCAAATCACTTTTAACCAATCATATTTTTAACTCAAAATTTAATTCAAACTTAACTCAACTCCTCTATCGTTTCGTTAAATAAAAAAAAATTAAAAAAAAAAATTCAACTCAAACTCTTCAATAGTATCAATATGATTAAGGAATACCAATCAATCATTATCACACATCACAACAACTTAAATTTATTATAAATCCACTCAAATAATTTTAGGAACCCATCACTTTCAATCACCTTAGTACAAATCTCATGCGACGCACGAGTAAGAGATATTCATTAATATTTTTAAAACTAAAAATGCTCATTAAATAATATTTAGAAATTAAAATATGGAATCAATATGTAATACAATTTACCGATATTAATTTATTAAAAATATTATACAAAAATTAAATTGTGCAAAATTACATAAAAACACATCTATTTAAAATTAGTACACAACCTCTCATGGTGCACATGATCGATAGTAATTATATCATTTGAAAATAAGAGTCACATTAAAATTTTTATTCAGAAATTAGATTTGACTACAATGTGATTCTATAAAATAAATATTTTGGTAAAATTTTATCATATATTTAAAAATCTATGTGAATAATAAGTATAATTATAAAACTTATATTATTTCATTAATTAAAATTAATTTATTTTTTCATAAATTATCCAAATAAAAAAAAGTTTAAGTAGTTGAGTAATTTATTGAAATATAAATAATTAACTATTTCATTTACGTCCAAATTAATATTGACCCTTAAGAATTGAATAGTTCTAGTTGCGAGTTTTCTTCTAGCGTTGCTAGCGGGTCTCTAGGCGGTCTTCTGACCGGTCCTCCCACTTTTTCAGTTGTTGACTGTTGTATATTCAGTCGTTGATTGTTGTGTATTCGCACATTTGTGCATTTTGATTTATAATATAAACTATTGTTTCGAGAAAAAAAAATAATTGAATAGTTAGTCATTTGACTTTTAAACTTGGAACCCAAATATCAACTACACAATAAATTATCATATATATATATATATAGAGAGAGAGAGAGAGAGAGAGAGTTGGGATCATATGAGAATGGTAGATAGTGAAAGAGATGAGAATAAATCTGGATCAATAGATATATCATGTCAATGGCTAAGATTAAGTCAAATATTGGTCAATCATTAATGGCAATATAGTAAATACGTAGACATATGATGGTCAAATATATAACTTTAATCACAAAATAAGAGTAATTTAGATATTTGATTAACACACATAAACATGTTGGTCCACCACCTCCAACATCAAACCAAATCACTTACCCGTCAATCATCTACCCATCCACTACCCAACAAACCCATTAAAACTCTCTCTCTCTCACACACACACTTACACACACTCCTCACATCGTGCACACACAGACCGCCGTCCACCGTCCGCCGTCAGCCGCCCGTCACCCACCGCATGCCGCCTGCCCAATGAACACCACCGCCACCTGCCGTACGCACATCTCTTCAGACACCGCCGGACAACACCATTTGCAGCCTGTCAGACTCCGACCGCCAACACCGAACTGCCGCCATCGGTCCAGTCACCACCGCCATAGCCCGAAACTGCTTCACCCCCGACCAGGTTCGCCAGCTCCGCGAACGAACAGACACATACATGATACCACATCGCCGTCGACGGCCATGTGTGATTCTACATCGCCTCCGGCAACACTCCGACGACACTGTTCCGCAGTTCAAATTCCGCAGACATCGTCGGGCTGTGGATTCGATCGCCTCCGGCAAAAGAAAGAGTCAATTGGGCTGAAGATGGTGGCACTGTGTGCGAGCAGCCTCATATATACGCATTTTTAGGGATTTGTAGGGATAAGGGTGATTTAGTGAGAATTAGGTCCTTTTTTAGGGACAAAAATGTAATTTTTAAAACTTCAGATATAATGTAATATAATTAATGGGATAAATATACATTTTTATTTCAAACTATTATAAATGTAGAATAATTGTTAAAAAAATTGAATTATATGTGTATGGATATGCATATTGTATGTTCATAATTTTAGTATAGCTAATGTTAAATGATTGATTAAATATGTAAGTTAATAAAAATTAAACAATTATACAATTATGTACAATGCATCACAATAACTATAAATAAATTGCACAATAGAGTGTGTATATATGCACATTAAAAAATTAATAAAAAAAAAATCAAATTACCATATGCAATTTGGATTCTTTTTTAGATTAATCAAATTACTATAATTTTTGTACGTTCATGATTGTGTTTTATTGTGGACAAATGATGTGATAGATATTAAATATTATGTAGATCTATTTTTTTTATTTATGTTGTGTGGTATTATGGCGGGAGTTATCGACGTGAATTGCGGAGTGACGTGATAAAGTGCATCTTGTTATTTTATAAAGTGCGACCTGTTGTTTTATAAAGTGCAATGTGATGATTTGTAAAGTGCATTACTGAGTTTTTATAAGTAGAAAGTTAATAATAGTAATAATTTAACCGAAATATAAACTTTGAATATTTTAGTTGGATGATTTTTAATATTGTGCAATCATATAGTCGTGAATGTGCAACCCATATAACTATAATGTGCATTCGCAATACATATAAAAATATATAGATCATAATAGTAACATTTCTCATATAGCTCGACTCTTTCAAATTTGATGGGAATAATCAAAATATATATATATTTTAAAATTATCGAAATAACTTTATTTCAGTTGAAATTATCAAAGTCATAATATCTTAAATTTTAAAAACCATCGAAATATATAAATTCACACAGAAAAATCATATCTATTTCAGTTTTGATCGTTAATGTGCGGTCTCACACACATTAATGTGCAATATGTATAACACTAATGTACAGTGTTTCAGTTGATAATGTGCGGTCTGTCATACTCACACATTTATTCTTATTTTTATATTATTTTTATTTTTATATATTTATTTAATATTTATGCATATTAAAATGTACAAAAAAATAATATATTTCATTATTTATATAATAATAATAATAATATTTTATATACTATTTTATATTATTTTTTGGTTTATAATAACATATATATATATGTCTTACAAAAAAATATATATAAAATAATGTGTTTTTATATATTTTATATAAATTACAGATTTGACTCAGGGACTGAATCAAAATAATGTTAACTTTTTAAAATTTACAGATTGACCCCGGGGGTTTAATTGAAATTAACTAAAACTACAAAAATTACAAATTAGTCCTTGTATCTTATCAAATTTTCAAACCCAAGTCCTCCACCCCCAATTTGTTTTTCCATTCACCAACAGAACTGACGACGGACCTCTGTCCGCCGGCGTTTCCCCAGGCGCTGTCCTCCCGCCCGCGACTCTCCTGGACGCTCAAACCATTGCCGGTGGATATGTTTTTATTTTTATTTTTATTTTTATTTTTTTTAATGTCTTCCATTAAAGCTCGAAGGTCGAGCTTGAAGGTCATTAAGGCTCGATGAAGCTCGCAGGTCGAGCTTGAAGACGGAGACGGCGGTGGGTATGGCGGATCTGGAAGGCGGCGGCAGCAGATGTGTGCAGGCCTCCTGGTACAGCCATCGAGTTCTTGATACGGCTCCACATCGCGACGCCTCCTCTGGTCAAGCGAGTTTAGTGTCGTGAGATTAGCTGCGACAGCGGCAGTCGACGGCGACCGACAGTGGTGGTTGGACATCGGAAGAAGGCGCAGGCATGGTGGTTGGACATGGGAAGAAGACAACATCGGTTCTGTAATTGGGGAGGAGAGAGAAATGGGTTGGGTGGTTTGGGTGGGCTCCACGCATGAGAGATGGGATTGTGGTGTGTGGTGTGTGGGCCCCATTGTTTGGGGTAAACAATTACTACATTACCCTTAGGCTGTGTTTGGTTGCCCATATTGGGCTTGATAACCTACCAATTATTATTTTATCAATAAGTTTAGGTTGTTTGGTTGAGAATGAAAAAGCCCATGATATAGTTAGAGCCCGGTCTTTTGTCCTCCAATTCTGTTATAGGCCGTATCCCACTTCTAGTGCAGGATACCATATCACCACATTTGTGATGGACTAGTAAATGTCCAATTTACCCTTTCTTAAATACAAAAAGTACAGAGAATCAATCATTTGTGTTCCATCTCTTTCGATCATCAAAACCTAGCAGAACGAGAAGAACACCATTGTATGTTCCTCAACATGAACACCACCTTAGTATCTGAAATCGAAGCCATATATAATAGATATTTATATTTTCAAATTATTGATTGTTCAACTTACACAATCTTCTTCTTCTTCTTTTTTTTTTNACGATTTTTCCACATCTTTTAGAGAAAATTATTAATCAAAATTTAAATCTCATTTTTGTTTGCTTTTCCTTACGATTTCGTATCTGCTCCATGTTTGTCTTCGAGGGGTTTTGCCCTTTAAATTATTTGTACGTATAGTAGTGTTCAATTTTATTTATTTTATTTTGTTTTTGTTTATATGCAAGACAACAAGAGATAAATATTGAGCTTTGGAATTATGTGGATTTTGTGTTGTAAAATTTTTATGACAACATAAACAAGGTAATTGTGAGTAGAGAACTTTGTTAGATTTTGGATCAAGCTTTTAAAGATTTAAATTATAGTGAATTTCATAATGTAAGGTGATTTATGTTCCATTTCATATGCAGAAGTTCAACATTAGTACAGAGTCAATCTTTATTTTATGAGGAGTCCAAAATGCATAAATTGTTGTACTCCATTATATACTAATATTTTATTTTTATTTTTATTTTGCATCTTGCTCTTCACGGGCTGAATAATTGATCTTTGAAGTACATTTTTTATTTATAAAAGAAGGTATGTTTACGTACTAGATAATGTATTATGAGAAATTTGATTTGTGCTTTTTCTATAATTTTTCTTCTTTATATTTACACTTGTAATTATATTGTCAGGTAACTATGGAGTCCTTTATCGACGGTGGTTTTTCAATGGGATGTAGCTAAAGAAGATGAAGATGGTTTAATTGTTATCTTGGGATGTAAGCATTTTGGGGTAAAGTTTTATTGTGTGAGAGTTATTGTAGTACCGATTTTTATTCGCCATGCTAACTTCTGCAAAGAAGGATTTGATTCAAGTAGCAGGTGCTAAGTTGGAAATTCTATGTTTTTTATTCACATATTTGAGTATAATTTAATCCTATCCGTCGCGAATCATTTGTTCCCAGGAGGAGGTTCATTGGCCTTTGCGGAACTGAATATGATGGGAAATAATGGTGTTGAGATTTGTTCAAAATGTTATGTTGATCTTAAAATGATAGCTATTGATGTTTTTTCAATCAGTGGTGGGCATTTGATTGGTAATTGCTTATTGGTTGATTGTTTTTAAAACTAAACTTTAAAGTTTTCTTGTTAGTTATTGGGATGCTGAAGGAGCATGACCAGTTGTTGAATCTAGTTCTGGATGAAAGCCATCGAACTTCTTAGAGGTAAGTAACTTGTTATTGACGGTCTTGCTTCATAAATAAGAAAATAAACTACTATTTGACCCATGTTTCATGTTATGCAACATTTTTTGCATTATGCATTAGTCAAATCTCATATATTCAATTGGCTAATGGGTTGCACTCAAAACTTGGGTATTTATCAAAATAGTGATTTCATAGTACTTCAAGGTCTATCTGTAGTCCTTACAACAATGTTCTAATATGTTACATTTTTATGTTTTCTTTTATATTCACTCTTCTTGAACAAACCTGGATTGGATGTGCATTCTTTCTATTCATTTGCCGTTGAACATAAGTTTTCCAACTAATATTCCTCTTATGCTTATTTCCTAAAAATGTGAAGCGATGCAGATACTAATGTTGATGATGGAATTAAGCTAACCTTTGGGGTGTATTAGGTACTTTTAATCTGTAGCTCATCACTTCTACAAATATGATGATGGAATCTAATGAGATGTGTGCATCAAAAAGTCAATTTAAAGCAACACAGGGATAATTGGACTGAACTTGCTTATGCAACCATAGAGGCAACATACCACTGCTAAATTTGCGTTTATGAATCCAAGTCCTATAATTATAGCACTAAAATGTTCTTGTGGACGGGAATGGGGCATAGGTGATGGCAGGAAGTCCTTATATTTTACTACAAATTTTCAACTTCATAAGGATAGATAGAATACTTAATAAATGTAGTAATGACTATTTTTTTTCTATTTTTTTTTATTTTTTTTTTATTTTTTTTTATGCGCATTTGGTTTGATGTACTTGAACATGTGATTTTATTGGAGATTGGTATTGATATTCTTAATTCATTATTATGTGATTGACTCATATGAACTTCCTACACGTGGTTTGAATTTTAATTTTAACAATATATAATTGTACCACTTTGTGCATGGAGCAGAGTTCTAAACAATTGACAAAGTGCTTACTTGGTGAATCAGAAAATATATAATTTCTCTATTACTATTATTAGTTTCAGTGTTACCATTCATACATTTCATGGAAAGAGAGATGGAGAGTGAGGTCAATAATGGAAAGTGCATTCTATTACTTCCGTATAAATTCTCAACCAAACAAGATAATAACTTAATGTGCTTGATAAAAAAAAAAACTTCACATTATTAACCAAACAACACTATGAGTGTGATATAATAAGGTGGAAACTCACCTTGGCCCGCATATATAGTATCAAGCACAATACCACAATTCCAACCAAACACACCCTTAATGAATGTATTATTTGAGCTTGTTTTTAGCCACTAGATCATCTAATCTAATGGTTACAATTTATTCTTATTACTTTCACTGAGCACCATTCTCACTGACGCGACCCTATATATATATATATATACTCTATAATTAAATTAAAAATTTTAAATCTTGTTAACCAACATTTGTTCAAAGATCTTTCTGATTTTCAGTAGGAATACATATCAATTTGCCGAATTATCATTAAAATCTTATGACAATTTATTGTGGGAATATGTTAAAATTTGAGAGTCATATCACTTTGACTAAAATTCGACTTTCATACCCATACCAAATAAAATTTATACCACTTATTTTGTTACAAGATTTTCAAATACACTTCTATCCATATCAAATAAAATTCATACAATTTTTTTTTCCAACGATAGAAGTTTAATTAAAAGGAAGAAGCCGAACAAAGTTCAATAGAGTACAACTACAATGGGAGATATAGTCAAAGAGTGATCTAGAGAAAAACCAAAACAAATACAAGAAAAAGCGGGGATACAACCACCGAAACTTTCCCTCGGATACCCTACTACAAGCCACTACACAAGCAAACTAACAACACAAGAAAAACACACAACCGAAAAACTAAACAACTAGCCACTATCTCTTAACAGACACAAATTCTTGCCATTCTCTCCACGCCCCTCGAACCACTACCTCTTCCGGCATCCACACCTTCTCAAAGATCCACAAGTTTCGGGATTACCATAACCACCATAAGATATACGTGGATAACTGCACGCGATCCTCGGCTATGTCAGATTTCTCTAAGTCACAGATATCCCGCCACCACATTTAGAAAGATGGTGCACACAGTGTCTTCTCCTCCCATGCTAATGGTGACATTTTCCAGATTGTACTTGCTCTGTTGCAGGATAGGAGAAGATGTTCTATGGACTCCGGCTTCTCCCCACACATCTTGCAATGGTATCTGCCTGCACACCCTTTTTAGCCACATTAATGCCCACAGGCAATGTCCCTGTAAAACACTTCCATAGGAAGTGCTTAATCTTCCCTTTAACATTCATTTTCTAGGTTCTATCTCTAGCTTTCTTATCACTCAAAGCTGACCTGCTCCCCTCTGCCACATCCATTAGTAAAATTTTCTGAGTTAACAGATGGCTATAAGAACTTGCAACCGAGAAGTTACCATTCCTTTCATAAGACCACCTCCATATGTCCTGCTGTTCAGGTGCAAGGGATTTAATTTCCAGAATGGCATCTCTATCACTGTCACAGAAAAATTGGTTAATCAAATCCTCATCCCAGCTGTTACCATCATTTTTCAACAACTCACTGACCCAAATAGGAGATCCATTTCCAGTGTTCAACATAGTAGGACATTTGTGTTTCAGTTTTGACAGCCAACAGTTATCTTGGATCTTAGTAAGCTTACCATCCCTGATCTCTCTTCTTAGACCTTGAGCAAAAACTGGTATAATCTCCACCCAATTGTTCCAAAGCCAAGAAGCAGATTGGCTCTTTTTAACCTTAAAAATTGAATGAGCTGGGTAGTACCTGGTTTTCAGCACTTTGCTCACTAAAAGGTTAGGCAATGTGGTAATCCTCCAAAGTTGTTTCAAGAGGAGAGCCTCATTAAAAAGCTTATAGTCTTGAAACCCCAACCCACCACTGCTTTTTGTTTGAGCCAGCATGCTCCATTTCCTCCAATGTATTCCACTCTCCATGTTCTCCCTCTTACTCCACCAAAAGGCTGCTGTAACCCTGCTCAATTCGTCACAGATCCCCTTAGGCAATCTAAAACAAGACATGGAGAAAACTGGTAAGGCATTGATCACTGCTCTTACCAAAACCTCTTTTCCTGTAGTAGATAAGAATCTGTTCTTCCAGCTCACCATCTTCTTTTTCACTGCCTCTATAATATAGTCAAAAGTCTCTTTCTTTGATTTCCCAATCCCCAGGGGCAGTCCAAGGTACCTGGTTGAGTTATGCTGTTCAACTTCCTGAAGGAGTGTACACAATGCAGACTTCAGCTGAGGGTCTGTATTTTTGCTGAAAAAGGCTGTAGACTTGTTCAAATTCACCCTTTGGCCAGAAAACTTATGATATAAATGTAGAATGTCCCTTAGCATTCTCACTTATCTGATATCAGCTTTACAGAATATAAGAGTATCATCTGCAAACAGCAGATGGGTGAGAGTTGGTCCTGTCCTTGCAATTCTGATTCCTTTAAATTCCCCATTGCTAGCTGCTCCTCTTATCAATGATGACAACACCTCAGAAACAATCAGAAACAGATAGGGGGAAATTGGGTCCCCCTGTGTGAGTCCTCTTGAGGGAGTTAGAGAGCCTCTAGGTTGACCATTTATCAGGAATGAAAAAGTTGGTGAGGAGATGCAAGCATAAATCCACTTGACAAAGACTGGCTCAAATCCCATTTTCAGCATAGTTTTGCAAACACCTCCCCACTCCACACGGTCATATGCTTTAAGCATGTCCAACTTCAGAGCCATGAAGCAATTCTTTCCTGTTCTATGTCTGTTGAGGTAGTGGAAAATCTCTTGGGCTATGACTACATTATCCATGAGTTATCTGCCTGGAATGAAGGCTGCTTGTGCTTGACTGATACAACAATCCAGAAAATTCTTCAACCTGTTGGCAAGGATCTTGGCAATTACCTTGTACACCACCTCACATAAGCTGATAGGTCGAAAGTTGTTGATGGATTCTGGGTTTAGACACTTTCGAATAAGAGCCACAACAGTATGATTCCAGTACTTCAAAAGTTGCCCTGATTCAAAGAAACTAGTCACTGCTCTGCACAAGTCCTCCTTCAGAAGTGGCCAAAAGTGCTGATAAACAAGGGCAGTCATCCCATCTTCACCGGGTGCCTTAGAAGGGTTCATCTGAAAAAGAGATTTTTGGATTTCCAGCTCTCCCACTTCAGCCTTAAGAGCTCTATTCATTGTTGATGAAATAACTGGCCTTATATGCTGCAGAGCTACATCTTCCTGTTGAGAGCCTTCTGAAGTGAAAAGGTCTTCATAGAATTTGAGAATGTGCTCTCCAATTTCCCTTTATGAAATAATCTCTCTATTCCCATCTACCAGCCTGGAAATGGCATTCTATTTCCTCCTTTGCATAGTCATAGCATGAAAAAACTTAGTGTTTTGGTCACCTTCCATCAACCATATCCTTGATTTATGTAGCAAGAATTGTTCTTCGGAGCAATGGGCTTCATCAAGCTCTTTTTGCAATTTTTCCCATTCTTGCCAATTTCTCCCTCCTCCTAGCTTTCTCATCTCAGTCAGCTTCATTGTGAGACTGTCAATGTCTGCTCTTTTTTTGGACTTCAGAGCTTTATTCCACTGTATAAGAGCAGCTCTAGTCTTCTTAACTTTCTCTTTCAAGATGAACATTGGAGTACCATCAGGGCTTTCACTCCAAGCCTGTGTAAAAGTTTCCTGCACTCCCTCCCTCTGAATCCATCTCTTGTCAAAATGGAATCTTCTATGCTTGTTTTTGATTTTCTGCCCATCTTCTATCAGCATCAAACTGTGATCTGATGCAGTTTTGATAACATTTTGCACTCTAGTTTGGGGGTACTTGCTCATCCACTGGTATGAGACAAAAGTTTTATCCAGCACTTCTTCCACATACCCCTCTTCTTCTCTATTATTTCCCCATGTACACTTGTGCCCCTCCATCTGCACTAGACACATTCCCATCAAAGCAATGAAGTCATTAAACCCCTGACAATTTCTTGCAGATCTAATATTTCTCCCTTTTTTCTCTTCTGGGCTGCTGAGATCATTCCAGTCCCCTGAGATCAACCAATAGTCTCCCCATTTTCTTTTTTCATCCACCAAAAACTGCCACTGCAATGTCCTCTCTTGCTTGATAGTACTCATGTATACAAATATAGCCCACTCTGCCAACATGGATCCCTTAGCTTTGAATTGGACTTGAATGCAGAATTCATTGCTGTTAAGGGAAAGAATGTTTGTGTCTCTGTCCTAACACAAAAGTAATCCTCCTCTGGTGCCTTGTGGTTCTTGGTAGTACCACCTTTCTACAAAACCTAGCCTTTTACAAACATTAGAAACATATTTTTTTTTTCTTTTTTACTTCAGATAAAAACACAAAATTTGGATGGTGAGCCGCTATGGACTCTCGCAATTGGGGAACTGTGGAGGGCCCACCCAGCCCTCTACAGTTCCACACCACCACTCTCACTGGTCACTTTGGGGCCATTTTTTGCTGGCTTCCCTCACCAATGTCACCTTCAGTTTGGCCTTCTTTCGATGTGCAGCTTCATCCTCTTCTTCAGGACTATTTCCATCTTTGGCTGCCATTGCTCTCTTCTTCTTCTTAAGAGGAATCTCTGTTTCCATGGTGTTTGAATATCTCATCAGTCTACCTTCATTTTTTGAGGTTCTCTTCCATGTTCTGCTTCTTTGAGGCTCCTCTGGTTTCTTGAAAATCACTAACTGGAATCTGGAGTGCTGTCTTTGGCTGCCCCCCTTGATATTATAGTCTCTTCCACCTGCATCTGCTCATTAGGCATCTTAGGCATGTTGATGTCAATCTCTCCCCCTCTCTCCGTCAGCTGCCCAGATGAGGAAAATTCCACCATAGTCAGAAATGGAACTGTAATATTCACCTGGTTATTAGATCCTCTAGTCTGACTGTGTTCATTACTTTTTGACTCTCTAGGATCTTTTGCTTCTCCTCTGTGGTTATCATTGGAGTGGTTACTAGGGCTAGGATCCCCTCTGGAATTGGTCCCTTTTGAAGGAGAGTTAGCTTCCATCCATATCCCTCCATCCACCGCTTTGACCCAATCTCCATATTGGCCTTCCTTCACACACTTACTTTCTATGTCCTCTATTCTTTTACTGCAACTTCTATCCAGGTGCCCAATGCACCCACAATAAAAACACAGATTAACTAGCTTTTCATACTTCAGGTGCACTGTCACTAGAGTGTCTCCTAGCCTTATATTAGCCCATCTAGGAAGAGGCTCTTTAAGATCAATGGTGGCTAGAATCCTCAGAATTCTCCCTTCTGTACCTCCACCTCTCACTACATTCAAATTCTTCACTCCCTTAAATATTCCACATACTTTAAGCCCAACATCCGTACACAACCAGTTCAATGGGATATTATGCAGTTGAACCCATAGATTATCTCCTCAAAGCACTCATCTGTGCCCTTAATCCCTGTGTGCCATTCTCTCAGAATCAAATATTGGTTCTCAAATACCCAATTCCTCCCTCTATCCACTTTATCTGCTACTTCCTGATTTGGGAATATAAATTGAAAGAAATTGTTGCTTAATTCCCTCACCTCAAGCGAGTTCCCCAGTCGCCAAGCTTATGCCATAGCTCCTTTGACTCCAATCATAGTCGCCCTCCTATCTCCCACAATTTTCCCAAATAGGCTGCGTCCGCATTCCTCTTCCCCAATCCTCACGTCATTATCTGCAATATCTATGATTTTAACTTCCTTTTCTGACAAGGAGAAAACTTCCATTAACTTCTCTAGTTCTACTGCGCTCGACTCCATAACACTACGAAACACAATCCCCACTAATACAACCCACACAAGAAAGCAGATCACCTTCACAATCGCTATAAATAGAAGAAACGAGATTGAAAAAACCCTAATCCCCAACAGATTCTTCTATTAGAGAGATGAAGTTCAGATACTTCATACCAAAATAAAATTGTCTACTTTATACCATAAAATAGGACATTTATTATTAATAGCATATTTCCTATCGAAGATAAAAATGGTCATCTGATACCTAAAATAAAATTGTTTATTTTATACCAAAACTGGATTTCTAATTTTACTATTTTATAATAAATTGATTAATTAATTTTAAGAGGTGGGATTTTTTGAAAAATTTCAAAAATAGAATATAAAGTTTAGTAATTTTAAAATTTTCAAAACTTTTTATATAATATATATAAATAGATACGCATTATATTTTAATTTTATTACAATATACTTGCATCAACTTAATTTATGCATACTGATTGCCTTAAGTATTTGTACCGGTTATACAGTAATTATTTTAATTAAACTAAGGATGGAAGTGTTTCAAAAGTCCATGTCCGGAGAATAAGGCTTTGTTTGGAGAAAGTTCAATTTAATTTTTGTCGCCAAAACCAATCCTACATAGCACGAAAGTTTGGAGAATAAGCTTTGTTTGGGAGCACTTGTTCTATAAAAGTCCATCTTAAGTTTTCATTAAGTGCATTTACAAAAGTCCTTACACAACTTTTACATATGTTTGATGAATCTCATTTTAAATAAGTACTTTAATTACTAAATAATAATATTTTTTACTCGTAAAAATTTCCTACCCACTACATATCATTTAATATTATATTATGGTGATCTTATACATATATATTATCTATGAACCATTTAAATATATTGATAATTAAGTTTTTCATCTTTTTTTTTTTTACCTTTATCAAAATGATATTCAAAAAATATTTTTTTATATCATTATTTAACCATATAATATTATATGATTATTGATTTAAAACAAAAAAAAATTATGCAAACTATTGAAGCTATGACATACCTTTAGATTTGTTCACGTTTGGAGTATGTTTTACTGAAGAAGATAGATAAAACACAGTTCATTATAACTGGAATAAGGAAATGAAAAAATTTGAGGGGAAGGCGGAAAAAAAATGCAAGAATAATTGTGAAATAAGTTTCAGAAGTAGCTAATTCTCACTTCTCCAAAATGGACTTATTTGGGAAGTGACTTTTCTCAATAGTGCATTCAATATAAATCACCAAACATCTTAAAATCATTCAGATGGGCTTTTAAGTCTAGAAGCCCATTTCAAAGTGTTTCCAAACACACACTAAATATTCAAGAACGTTTCTCATTATATTTTATTATAGTTTTAAACAAAAATTCATAAAAGTTAAAAGGTGTACAATTTTGATAAATAATACGTTACTTCAAAGTAAAAGTCAATCATAATTTTGTCTTTTGAGGATTTTTCATACCAAAATTGAGTAAATAAAATTTCATACAAAAAATATTTCACCCACTTTATACCATAAATTACTTTACTAATTTTCTAATATGGTAAATATATTATTTTTGGCAGGAAACAGTTACTATTTTAAAAATAATCAAAACTTTATATATATATATATATATATATATATATATGGAAAGGATCATATGAGAATGACCCTTAATGCGAGAAATGAGAATAAGTTTGGACCATGGGATCAAGCATATCAATGGTAATATGGTAATTATTTGATCATATTGTGGTCAAACATGTGTATTTGACCAATAATTAAAGGTAATTTAGTCAATACATATATCAAGTGACAAGTGGGACCCACTCACCAAATCACTTCACCCCACCTTTTCTTTCTCTCTCCTCTCTCTCTCCTCCCCCTCCTCACCGTCCTTTTCTCTTTCCCTCAATTTCTCTCTCCTCTCCCGATCTGAACTGAAACTCACACACTGTAATGCCCCGTTTGAATTATTGAATTTTGGAGAATTAATTATTATTATTATTATTATTATTATTATTTATCTTATTTGTTGTTATTATTATTTGGTGAATGCTAAATTATTAATTGTCTATTATGATTTATTTGTAAAATTGCTTGATTGTCTAAATATTGAATTAATTGCCTAATTGTCTAAATGTTAAATTAAAATGTGTATTTGTATTTTTACTAATATTATTATTATTTTTTTAAAATTTAAATTGTGTATTATCAATATATATTATATATTTGGATTGTTTATTTAATTAAGTGAATTTATTTATCGAGCCCGAAAAATCTATATTACTTCTACGTAGTCGGGCCCGGGAGCCGATACGTTTCATTGAACCGAACCCGCGAGCCTGTTAATTCGGCCTAAATCCGAGCCCAACCAATTCGGCCCGTGTGTGCTGAGTGAGCTTCTTTTTGTGCAAGACATTAAACCTATTTGGGATATATATATATTTTCTTGCTCTCGTTCGTTCCTCAAAAATCAGAAAACACCGCAGCCTTCTTCTCTTTGCTTATCTCGATCGTAACCTTAGCAGAAGAGAGATTTCTCTCGCTCGACCATCATTGCCCACATCCTTCGCTCAAACCAGGTCAAATTCCGCAGCCCCTCACCGATTTCGATCACCATCATCACTTCGTATCTTTCCCCCTTTCTCTGCAAATTTCCCGTCGCAGACCCTCCATCACGTGAGAAGACGCCGGCGACCTCCCCTTGTTGCACCTGAAAATCCGTCCACCCATCATCATCCAGACATCGCAGCATCTACATCATCACGCCATCGCCTTCACCATCCGTTCGTCTTCAACCTGTGAGCGCGCCATCAGCTCCGCCGCGAACAGAGACGAGCCCGACGACCCTCGCCGTGAAGCTCCGCCCCGCTGCAACCTTTGCCGTCGGCGACTTGCAGCCCTGCTCCGTCAGGAGCCACCGTCTCGCTTAATCCTATATATTATTTTATGTGCTCGATTATGTGAAATGGGTGTTGAACGTGCTTCTTGAACTTAAATTCGTGCCTTAGTTGAGTAATTGTATGAATTCTATTTTATATTCGCAAATTGGATATCAGAGTGATTGCCGTCACTTTGAATAATTTTCGAACTGAATATATGTGGTTCTTTTCGTGGAAATCCTGGAGTTATAGGTACTTCGAGTTGTCCTTGATCTGTTAGTTTTGGTTTAAAGTCGTTTCGAGTTGTATTTTGGGAGTTATGATTTTTCGAAACCGAGCATGCTGCTGAATCGTAATAAATTCACCATAAATCGAGTTGTTTTTCGTTTGAGCTAAATTTTTGATATGTTATGCCTCTGAGTATGTTCAATGTGTGTGCCAAGCCTTTCGAGTTCAAATTCTTAAAACGGGTTCTGCTCAGAAACCTGTAAAATTCACTAAAAATTGTACCCTTAGTGTTTGGAGCTGAAACTTTCAGGAACCTGATATTTTATTATGTTTTAGGTTGTGTAAAAAGTTCAGACTGAAACTCGATGTTTAGCTATGCGAACTATTAAATGCTGATTTTGGTGCTGTTTTTGCTTAAATCATTTAAAAATGTTACCGGATGAATTTAGGGCTGAAACTTGGTGAGTTTATGTGTTTTTGCATGTTTTATAATGTGGTAAAGTTTCAGGTTAATTGGCTGAGCCTAACTTTTGATTCTAAATTTAGTTTATTTTGGAGTCTAAATGTTCGGTTATCATTTGTTTAGGTTAGGATTGGATTTTGTTGATGTTGGCATGACTTATGTGTATTATATGAAGTATTTGAGTTGTTTCTAGGTCTGGTAGTCACTCCATTGTACCTAACTCGGTCAAGGAATCCACGAGTCACTTAGTCGATATGATTTCGGCTAAGTATATGTGCCTTACGTGTTGTTTTGATTTGGGTAGTCAGTGATAGGTCCTTATAAATTGTTGTAGGTCCTTCGAGCTGAACTTGTGCCATAATTCCCTTCAACTCTGTCTTTGGCTATACCTCTTGCAATATCCAGGTGGGTTGTTATTCTAAAATTGGCTATGCTGTAAATATTATAAACATATAATTTGTGGGTTTTTATTTAAGAATTGTCTATGCAATAAATAGTTTACTTTACTTGAGTATGATCAATGTGTGCTTACTAATCATGTATCCTTCGATGTGAGTTGTACCGGTCGTCGAACGGTTGTCCCTTATTTATGAAAATAAACCTGAGGGGTTACTCCTACTGACTGGGCATCGATGGAAGCCCGTGGGGCGATTCGATGTGTAGGACCGGAGGGCATAGATGTAGAGCCCATGGGGCATTCGAAGCATGACCCGAGCGAGGGCCTTCGATACATCTACCGACAATAGTCTATTGGTATAGATGTGCACATGAGTCTGAACAATGTGAATTTATGTTGAAACTTGGGATACTTAATTGATTGTTTCGTATACATACTGTGGTCATACCTTATTGATTATTGATAACTGTTTCATTATTGTGAATAATGTTTACTGCATAGTGGTGAGCACTACTTTTTCCTCTTGTCCTCATCCCCACCTGAAATTCACGTTTCAGGTTAAGCAAGGCAGGTGCGACGGCGGAGTCAAGCGAGTGGTGGTCGGTCTATAAGACTGTCCTATTATTGTTTATGCTTCCGCATTTATGATCTGATTTTTATTATGAACTTGGAATACTATTGCTTTTATGAATTCTGGATTTATGATTGAATAATGTTAAGGAGATGCTCCTTAAACTTATGAATATTGTTGGAACCCAGTTTGGGTGAATTGTGCATTTTGGAAAAACCCGTTTTGGGAGTTAGTAATATTAATGATTGAGTTTGATGATTGATTTAATATTGAGAAATTGGATAAGTGTGGAAGTTTGTTTTGAAAGTGAGTAGCGTCTCAGGTGTTAGAAAAAAAATTTGAAAAATTTATACTGATTTTCCGCTATAAAAAGTGGGGCGTTACAGTTTGGTATCAGAGCCAGTCTGCGTTTCTGTAGACTGGTATGTACGAATATTGTGAACTCTGAGAAATAATTGAATAGTTATGACCACTCGTTTCCGTCGTGCCTCGCCAACTCAGGTATGAATACTTGAGTATATTAAATTGTTTATGTGAAGTAGTATGATATTATGAGATGTAAATCGGGGCTTAGGAATTTATCCTCCTACTTTTGAACGTTCTGGAACTCTAGATGAGTGGCGAACCTTAGTTGTATGAACTTGAACTCTAGCGATATAGAGTTAAGTTCTAACTTGAGGTTTTGTTTGTTTAGAAATTCGACATTATGTTGTCGAGCTGAGTTCTGTGTATGACAGTCCTCTCGATGTATTTTGGTGTCATCGGATGAGGACCTTTCGCGAGCCATCTCGAAAGGAGAAGGCTTAAACGAAGGGAACAGACAACCGGAGAAGTCTTAAGTGTGGGATATTCGGAGGTCTGTAACCGTGGTTGTTAAGACCATTAAATGTGTATTTGACCCCCCAGTCGAGTGCGAGCTGGAGTAGAGTCTGGGTGCCTTGTGCATACATAATGTTCGACCCCGAGGAGTGTTGGGGAAACTTAATGCGTAACACTGTCGCGACTCTCGAGAGTGGCTAGGCCTCGAAAAAGACGATAGTGACCTATGCTTTTGCGAAATTCTCTCAGCGAAGGAATCCGACCTTGTTCTTAGAGGCGGATAGACCGATCCGGCACCGCGTGTATATTTTATTCCGCAAATTTGAGTGACATTCCTGTCTTGAAGGAGACGTCAAAAAATTCTCTTCCGTATTTTGAGCCGCGAGCAATTTCCAGAGCCAGCGGGACTTACCAGGAACAGCTTGAACCGAGGATGAAAACAATGAATCGTGGACTCGTGAAGGCGAAGCAGTCGTGTTTCCTTTCTTAAATTGTTGTCTTCTTGTATACTCTTGCAAACCGTTTTCCCACTCGCATGGCAAACGATTTTGAAGTGTGCTTGAAGTTTCTCTTTTGTTATCCAATTTTCGTATTTTGAGGATTTCGCTTGATTTTTCCCTACTTTTGATTCGCTGTGTAAACTATTTTAAGCTTCCCAACTTTAAAATTCGCTTATCTTAAAGTTTAGCTAATTCTGGTTTATCTTATGTTGGGAATTGACTTTGTTTTGAAAAACCTGAATTCAAGTGAGATTAAGCAACTCTTTGTTTCTGCTTATCTTTATTCACTTGCGAAGTATGAGAGTTTCATTCGAATGCCATCGCTAAAATATCACAAAGACTCGAGGGTAAAATTTTTCTATCGCCACTTTTGTGAATAACCTAACCTTAGGGGGGACAATAATTATTCACGCTCGGCATCAAGATAAACGCACAGGAACTGAAGCCAACACAATTCGGTTCGATAAGAAGATGGAGTGTTTTTCTACCTTTAAAGATTATGCAGAAGCATGTTAAGGAGGATAGATGAGTCAGAAACAATCACATCGCGTAGTGCAGAACCGTCCTCATTCTAAATTTTGTTCATCGTAGAAATTTTTGTTCTTTTCCACCTTTCGGAATCCCGGGAGGAACTTCGCGTTCAAATTCCTAAGTGTGAAGATTGAGAAGTGAGTTGCGCTCGTTTAGGACTGCTGACATGATTAGCTACCTGATGAAGAGCTGACGTGTCGGCCGACGCTGTTAGTTGGAAGAGCCGAGGCGAGCTATCTACTTAATGGCTCGGCGGAAGCCGCTGACTTAGAGAGAGAATCGCCATGAGAGTTCTTTTGAGATTTCGCATATCATTAGATCTGTGGCGTATTGCGTTTTGTTGTTTTAGAAAGTTGGTGGACTTGGAACTCGAACTTGTGCCTTGCTATTTTTGAGACTTTTGAAAATTTAAAATTGAGAAACGCCTGAAATATATATTGTTATGTTGACCCCAAAATTTTCGAAATTTTGGTAAGACCATTCCATTTTTATTTTTGGGTAGCCTTGAATTGTAATTTCTTGTGGGAACCTAGACCAAACCCCGACCCTGGCTGGGTGTAGCCACGCAAAGTGGTGGCCGAGCACGCACGACCATGCTGAGAGATGGGAGACTTGCGCGCGGCCGACTGTTGACTCGCATGCGAACTGCAGCCGCCATCACCGCACGCACGAACTCCCCAGGCTAGCGTTTATGGCCAACCATCGATGTTTTTCTGAGCTGTTGAAACCGTTTCATGCTGGAATACTTGGTTGTTCTTTTTGAACCCCCTTTCGTTCGAACCTTGAACCGAGAGCTCCAAGTCCCACTAAATGCGTGTAAATCCTTAATCGATGATTTCTGATTAAGGAGAGTAGTCGATGAGACCCTATGCTTTACTTGAAATTTTTCTCGAGTCAGCAAATTGGGAATGTTGTGTTGATTTGGGTCAAGCCTTATGTTTGTGCATAAGAGTTGCGTTCGACTCGTGGGGTCGATATCATGAGAATGTGAGCTTGATAGTGTCATGTTTTATATATGTGGTACCGTGTTGAGGTCTCGGATTGAGACGCACGGTCTGTGATGAATCGTGAGCAAGTTATCAGTGTGGCTCGGTCACGAGACTGAAACTTGGCGTCACGTATCCACCTTGATGGTGAGATAGTCGGAGTACGCTGACAATACACCGAACGACCTGTTGAGGTCTTGTGTGCTGTTAGGTACGAATCAAGTCGTTGATACTCATGAGTATAGGCTGAACCGAACTGGGTCCTTTGCAAGAGGATGTACGCCTGAGCTCGGGCAGGACTGATCACCCTCCCAAGCAAGAAGGTAAACATATGAGCATGGGCGAGTCAGATTGGTTCTTGTATGTGAGTACATGCTTTTCGAGCATAAGGCGATAGGACTCATGGGAACAGAATCGAGTTCCGGAGGGTGATGCCCGGATCTCGTGATTGGAAATTCCCGTTTGAGTCTGTCGTTATCTGAGATGTGCGTTCTTTCGTATTTCCGAGGACGGAAATATTTTAAGGAGGATAGATTGTAATGCCCCGTTTGAACTATGGAATTTTGGAGAACTAATTATTATTATTATTATTATTATTTATCTTATTTGTTGTTATTATTATTTGGTGAATGCTAAATTATTAATTGTCTAATATGATTTATTTGTAAAATTGCTTGATTGTCTAAATATTGAATTAATTGCCTAATTATCTAAATGTTAAATTAAAATGTGTATTTGTATTTTTACTAATATTATTATTATTTTCTTAAAATTTAAATTGTGTATTATCAATATATATTATATATTTGGATTGTTTATTTAATTGTGCGAATTTATTTATCGAGCCCGAGAAAGCTGTATTACTTCTACGTAGTCGGGCCCGGGAGCCGATACGTTTCATTGAACGAACCCGCGAGCCCGTTAATTCGGCCCAAATCCGAGCCCAACCAATTCGGCCCGTGTGTGCTAAGTGAGCTTCTTTTTGTGCAAGACATTAAACCTATTTGGGATATATATATTTTCTTGCTCTCGTTCGTTCCTCAAAAATTAGAAAACACCGCAGCCTTCTTCTCTTTGCTTATCTCAATCGTAACCTTAGCAGAAGAGAGATTTCTCTCGCTCGACCATTATCGCCCACATCCTTCGCTCAAACCAGGTCAAATTCCGCAGCCCCTCACCGATTTCGATCACCATCATCACTTCGTATCTTTCCCCCTTTCTCTGCAAATTTCCCGTCGCAGACCCTCCATCTCGTGAGAAGACGCCGGCGACCTCCCCTTGTCGCACCTGAAAATCCGTCCACTGTTTTGTACATTTTTGTTATAATTTTGTGTATTTTTGAGTATTTTATTTATGTGGTTTCTAGTTTATTTTTGGTCATTTTCGGTCCATTTGGTTGTTTTTCTTCATTTTGGTGTTTTTAAGTTGTTTCGGTATTTTTGGTATTTTTCTGTTGCTTTTTATGTTTATTTTGTAGGGAAATCGAGCCTCGTAGAGTTAAAAAAAAATATTTTCAAAAGTGCCGAAAATGCGTGTCGAAAAACCCGTGACGATTGGATTAAGTTCGGAATTCAATCATTCAAGAAAAAGTAACTAGAGAGGTTAGTTGGCGACAAGTGAGAAAAAGCGGAATTTGATTTCGAGTTCGGATGAATCCGAACGGGGCCGAAACATAAAGTCGAGCAAGTTATCGACGCTTTAATGGTTGGAAATTCCTCAAAATTTGTATTCTGGGAAAATTGTGGTTTGCAAGCACAATTATATAGAATAGTTCGTTAGCTACGCGTAGGAAAAAACGGAACTCAATTCCGAGTTCAAACGAGCCCGAACGAGCCAAAAACGTAAGCACGTGCACTGCTGCCCGCCTGCCCCGCGCGCTGCGGGAACCACCGCGCGCCATGCCGCGCCCAGCGGCTCTTGGACCCATTTTCTCGGATTTTTCCGAGCCTAATTGACTATTTTGAGCTAATACTCATTTTGGATGGGAAAATTGGGTCTTTTAGGTATGTTTGATGGATGGGTGAAGAAATTATGCATGGTTGATGAATGGGTGATGAAAATTTATGCATAAGTTAGAAAATTAAGGAATTTTTCACCCTATATAAACCATCTTCATTACCATCTTAAGGCATTCACTCATTCACCATATTCCTCACATTCTTGTTCCTTTCTTCCTCTTCTTAAACACTTAAACTTGTTGGTAGTGTTTAAGAGAAGGAATTTTGGAGAAGTTCGTATTAGATTATTGTATTCGAAGTGTTCTTATTTCGGTTCGGTTTATATTTATTTTCGACTTGGTGTAATCATTTGGTTTTGGTGTGATTTATAAGACTTCAATTATTTACTTGGAGTTCTTGTGGATTATTGGAATAGCATCAAGATTTGAGTTTTCCGGTAAGTTTTTACGATATTGTATGTTTAGGTCAAAGTTTGTATTTTATCGTTTTCAATCTATCATTACTTGCTATAGAAGGTTAGGGACCTATTTTTAGGACCTTTCATTGTGTAGTAGCACCGATTTATTAACTACGAAGTTCTTTTGAGTTACAATCAGAGTTTTCGATATATCGATAACACTAAGCTTGAGTCTTTTTATTTTTATTTTTATTTTTATTTTTATTTTAAGATAATATGGAATTAATTGTCGATCTAGTTTGAAAGATTAAGACTTGATTAAAACTTAATCATTTCGTGTTAGAAGTCCCATTTTAAAATCCCGATTATTTCAGTTATTTATTTTATTTTGTTTTGTCGTTTATAGTACGTTTTTGGAAACTTTCAATTACTTGCTTATTTATTTAGATTAAACCTGTTATTTACTTTATTCAATTTGTAGTTTTATTAAACTCTCAAACCAATCTTGATAGAATGTTTAGGATTTTTATTTTATCCTTTTTGTTTTTCAACAACTAGATTTAACGAGGCAACCGAACAGTCTTCCTTTGAGAACGACTCGAGGTCGGGTAACTTGATTACCACTTAACCAAAATATTGCAAACATCCACCCATCATCATCCATACATCGCAGAATCTACATCATCACGCCATCGCCTTCACCATCCGTTCGTCTTCAACCTGTGAGCGCGCCATCAGCTCCGCCGTGAACAGAGACGAGCCCGACGACCCTCGCCGTGAAGCTCCGCCCCGCTGCAACCTTTGCCGTCAGCGACTTGCAGCCCTGCTCCGTCACGAGCCACCGTCTCGCTTACTCCTATATATTATTTTATGTGCTCGATTATGTGAAATGGGTGTTGAACGTGCTTCTTGAACTTAAATTTGTAACTTAGTTGAGTAATTGTATGAATTCTATTTTATATTCGCAAATTGGATATCAAAGTGATTGCCGTCACTTTGAATAATTTTCGAACTGAATATATGTGGTTCTTTTCGTGGAAATCCTAGAGTTTTAGGTACTTGGAGTTGTCCTTGATCTGTTAATTTTGGTTTGAAGTCGTTTCGAGTTGTATTTTGGGAGTTATGATTTTTCTAAACCGAGCATGCTGCTGAATCGTAATAAATTCACCATAAATCGAGTTGTTTTTCGTTTGAGCTGAATTTTTGATATGTTATGCCTCTGAGTATGTACAATGTGTGTGCCAAGCCCCTGAATTTATTTTTGAATTTTTCGAGTTCAAATGCTTAAAACGGGTTCTGCTCAGAAACCTGTAAAATTCACTAAAAATTGTACACTTAAAGTTTGGAGCTGAAACTTTCAGGAACCTGATATTTTATAATTTTTTAGGCTTTGTAAAAGTTTCAGACGGAAACTCGAAGTTTAGCTATGCAAACTATTAAATGCTGATTTTGGTGCTGTTTTTGCTTATATCATTTAAAAATGTTCCCGGATGAATTTAGGGCTGAAACTTGGTGAGTTTATGTGTTTTTGCATGTTTAATAATGTGGAAATGTTTCAGGTTGATTGGCTGAGCCTAACTCCTGATTCTGAATTTAGTTTATTTTGGAGTCTAAATGTTCAGTTATCGGTTGTTTAGGTTAGGATTGGATTTTGTTGATGTTGGCATGACTTATGTGTATTATATGAAGTATTTGAGTTGTGTCCAATGCTGGTAGTCACTCCATTGTACCTAACTCGGTCAAGGAATCCACGAGTCACTTAGTCGATATGTGCCTTACGTGTTGTTTTGATTTGGGTAGTCAGTGATAGGTCCTTATAAATTGTTGTAGGTCCTTCGAGCTGAACTTGTGCCATAATTTCCTTCAACTCTGTCTTTGGCTATACCTCTTGCAATATCCAGGTGGGTTGTTATTCTAAAATTGGCTATGCTGTAAATATTATAAACATATAATTTGTGGGTTTTTATTTAAGAATTGTCTATACAATAAATAGTATACTTTACTTGAGTATGATCAATGTGTGCTTACGAATCATGTATCCTTCGATGTGAGCTGTACCGGCCGTCGAACGGTTGTCCCTTATTTATGAAAATAAACCCGAGAGGTTACTCCTACTGACCGGGCATCGATGGAAGCCCGTGGGGCGATTCGATGTGTAGGACCGGAGGGCATAGATGTAGAGCCCATGGGGCATTTGAAGCATGACCCGAGCGAGGGCCTTCGATACATCTACCAGCCGTAGTCTATTGGTATAGATGTGCACATGAGTCTGAACACTGTGAATTTATGTTGAAACTTGGGATACTTAATTGATTGTTTCGTATACATACTGTGGTCATACCTTATTGATTATTGATAACTGTTTCATTATTGTGAATAATGTTTACTGTATAGTGGTGAGCACTACTTTTTCCTCTTGTGCTCATCCCCACCTGAAATTCACGTTTCAGGTTAAGCAAGGCAGGTGCGACGGCAGAGTCAAGAGAGTGGTGGTCGGTCTATAAGACTGTCCTATTATTGTTTATGCTTCCGCATTTATGATTTGATTTTTATTATGAACTTGGAATACTATTGCTTTTATGAATTCCAGATTTATGATTGAATAATGTGAAGGAGATGCTCCTTAAACTTATGAATATTGTTAGAACCCAGTTTGGGTGAATTGTGCATTTTGGAAAAACCCGTTTTGGGAGTTAGTAATATTGATGATTGAGTTTGATGATTGATTTAATATTAGGAAATTGGATAAGTGTGGAAGTTTGTTTTGAAAATGAGTAGCGCCTCAAGTGTTAGAAAATAAATTTGAAAAATTTATACTGATTTTCCGCTATAAAAAGTGGGGCGTTACACACACGCACTACACACACTCAGAAAATGTGTAAATTGTGCACCCCGCAACGTCGTCTTCTCAACGGCAGAGCCTGCCACCGTGATTATGCAGCCGCCGCCGCGCCTCCGCATCCTATCACCGGAGTTGAGACGAAGGAGTTTTTGACGGAAACCAGCCGCCCATCGCCTGCAGTCGTCGAATATCGTCCGCCGCCGCCAACCACCGCCCGTCGACACAACCTAAACCAAGCCTATTTTCGCCGATTCCATCTCCACCGTCCTCCACTTCCGTCACCAACCGGCCGACAGATCCCGTTCGCCGGTCGCCCCTCCTACACATTCCGACCACCGCGCATCACCAGACCGGCAGTGCGACTCTGCAACCAAACATCGCACGTATCCAGCTCGGTCGCCGTGGCTCTCCAGCGGTGCCACCGCGTCTCCCAGACCAGTATCAGCGCCAGTTGTGGTGGCTTTTGGTGATGATTACAGTGGCGGTGACGGCGTTTGTTGACGAGGACGGCGGCAGCGGCGGCGTTTGGTGACGAAGACGGCGGCGGTGGTGGTGGCTGAAGTTGAGTGGCAGCAGAGTCTTTTGTTTTGGGAGGGGGCTGGGTCTGTTTTTGTAGATTCAATATGTGTAAGGGACTATTTTGCAATTCCTACACTTTTAAGATATGTATATTTTTATTTATGTATTTATATTTTATGATTAAATAACTATTAATTTATACACAATAATGACACATTAGATGCACATTATTGTGTGTAGGTGTGCACCTTAACAAATAATGTCATACGGATATAAAATTATTAAAAGAAATTGATAAATAGGCCATTTTTTACTATAGTGAATTGCACAAAATTATATATAGATATGCTTCTTAATAGTAAAAAATAAATAATTAAAATGAAATGTATAAGTTGGAACTAAAAAATTCGACATAATCGATTTAATTTGCCGGTTAACAAAAATAACTAAAAATAACTGACATAAATTATATCATTTATTATAAAAAGCATGACTAATGTTTAATATTTTTTTTAGATATTTTATATTTTTTTTATTCAAAATTTAGCATTTGTGTGAATGAAATTACCGTGCAATGTAACATTTAATAAAGTGCAATTTGTTCAACACTACGGTGCACGTTGTCGGTCTGTATTATGCAGATTGAACCAACCGAACTTTTGTCCCAAATCAAATTGAAAAAATGAACATAGTCAATTGGTTTGTTCGGTTCGAATAACCGGATTTAATTCAAATAATATGTTGTTTATATTAAATTATATTTAATATATTAATAATTTTATTTATTATTTTTATATTATTTTTTTGTTGAATAAAATTGAGTTCAGTCGGTTTCGATCTTAAAAGTATAATATGATAATCGTGATAAAGTGCAACGTATTATTTTATAAAGTGCAATATGTTGTTTTATAAAGTGCAACGTGATAATCACGTATAAGTCGAACTATAAAGTGCAACGCATTGTTTTGTAAAGTGCAATATGTTGTTTTATAAAGTGCAACGTTATAGTGTATAAGTCGAACTACCGTAATTAATAAAAATATTTATAATTATTAATAATATTTGTAATTATTAAAAACACCCGTTATAATTTACGAAATTACATAGAGTTGTTCATTAGTCGGTTCAATTTGTTCACAAATTTATCCAAATACCAAGATGTTCCCTTAAAAGTACATGTGGTCTAACACTATCGTGTAGTATGACAATCACTAATGTGCATTTTGTTTAATACTATTGCACATTATTACATGTTTTATAATCAAGTTATTTGTTTAAATAAAATTAACCTACATAATTTAATTAATTTATTATTTATATTATAAAATATATCAATATTTTAATTTTTTTAATATTTTAATATGTATTTTTTGTTGAAAATGGATAGTATATATACATGTATAAAAAAATATACAAAAATAATATTGGTGATATATTTTTTCATAATTTTCAAATTATACCGAAGGACTAAATTGAAATTTGCTTCGGTATAATTGAAATTTGATAAAACTCTTAAATTTGCAATTGGACCCTTTCAAATTGTCAAATTCTGTTTTACAGAATAATCGATAAAATTCTCTCGCCGGAGAGCGTTCCATATTCTCTCGCCGGGGAGCATTCAGTTGCTGTGTTGAGCGGTCGTTTCTTGCAGAGGAATCCCATTTCCTTTGACGAGCTTCCATTATTGTTCTCTTCTCTCTCGTTTCAGCTTTCTGTTTCCCTTTAGATTTCCCTTATATCGCAGCAAATTAGGGTTCAATGGGAACTCCGAACTGTGTGGGGCAAGATGAAGAACTCTCTCAAAAATTGCAGGGGTTCTCACTCTCAGAAAAGGAACACACGCTTATTGACATCCGTCAGGACGATATCAAAATTAGTGCAGATGAGTGCCAACGGAGCCTATTCGGGAGAATAATTGGTGATCGGAAAACCAGTTGGATAGGGGTTAAGCGCGCGATGAGCAACATTTGGAGGCTAACTCAGCCTCTCGAAGTTAAAGAATTAGGGCCCAATTACTACCAATTTATCTTTCAAGGAACAGATGACAAGGAGAAGGTAGCCAAGGGAGTCAACTGGACCTTCGAGAATCAATACTTGATACTTTCAGAATGGAAGAGGGGTCTCTCTATCAAAGATCCCACATTTCAAGAGCTCAAGCTATGGGTTCAAGTGTTCAATGTACCGCTGGACTGGCTGAGTACGGAGGTGGGTTTGAAAATTGGGAAAGTTTTTAAGCGAACAGAAAATGTAGTGATAGTGGGAGCAGGAAATCATGGGGGAAAGATTATGCGTTTGCTGGTCACAGCCGACTTCACAGAACCTCTACCTCGTTGTGCCAACCTCCGGCTCGATGACCAATTGGTGAGTGTATGCTTCAAATATGAAAAGCTGGTTAACCACTGCCACTACTGCGGCCTTATTGGTCACCTGGATATAACATGTGCTGAGAGGTTGAATGACATACGCTCTAACTCACTCCACGAAGGACAATTTGGTGCATGGATGAGAGCTCCAGAGAACAATCACTGGGCAGGTATGAACTCTACAGGCTCACAAAGCCCTTCTGGTCGAGACAACCCATCATCTCCAATACACTCTGAAACACCAAATACCTCACCTACTTCTCCAAAACATGACAGCAACCAAATCCTCCCAATAGAAGGTTCACCTTCCCACAAATTGTCAGCCTCAGAAGCATCTACCTCCCAAACAAACAGTCCAATACCTCGCACATCCTCATTAGCTATACATGCCAACCCAACTCCTACAAACATAATAACCCAAGACAGTACTCACACCCTTCAACTGCAGAACTCCAACAAAGACATGGAAATCGAAATCCCTCAACCTTTAATCCCAGTTAATACTTCTCAGCAATTAGCTACAGCCTGTTCCCATTACCCTGTCCCTAAAATGTGGAAGAGATCATCATCCAGACTTGGGAGACTTCAAAGAAGGGAAAACACATCTCCACCTAAGGAGGATAGTAAGCAAGGCAAGAGAACAAGGGAAACTTTTGATGAAGCAGTCAAAGAAGGCAGCCATAGCAAGGCCTCTCAGGAGGAGAATAAGAGGCAAAAATCAGAATCCAAGACGGTGGGGGTGGCCAGCCTTGAGTGGCACCCAAGTGATCAATGCTAGCCGCGGTGTGGAATTGTAGAGGGCTGGGTGGGCCCTCTACAATTTCCCAAATCAGAGAGACCATTAAGGCTCACCACCCTGTTTTCTTTTTCATTTCAGAAACAAAAAAAACAAATGGCTTTGTTAAGTCTGTAGTTAGGAAATTAGGATATGATGATAGATTAGCTTTTGTGGACCCAGTAGGTTTAAGTGGGGGCCTTCTTCTGTTCTGGGATTCCAATGTAAATATTATTCAAATAATTAAGAAACCTTTCTGTATTGCTGTTGAATTTGTTATGGGAACAGCCCAATCTCAATGGGGCATTTTTGTTTATTTTAGTACCTGCAAACAAACTAGAGCTAATCAGTGGGAAGAGATGATTGCAGACAAGATTCATTGGGGCAATAGCTGGTTTACACTAGGAGATTGGAATGATCTCAGGAATGCAAATGAGAAAGCCGGGGGCATCAAGAGGAGTAGTAGAAGCTTAACAGAGTTTAACTCTTTCATAAACAATATGGACATGGATGAACTACCAATGCTAGGTTATCAATTCACTTGGTGCAACATGAGGCAAGAAGAAGGATTGGTAGAAGAAAAATTGGACAGAGCATTTGCATCACTGGAATGGATTCAAGCTTTTCCAAATGCAACAGTGTTAAACAAGGCCAGAAGCTCATCAGACCACTCCCTGTTACTCTGAACATGGGTCAACACCAACACAAAAAACCAGCAAGATTCTACTTTGATAAAAGGTGGATAGGGATGGAGGGATACCTGGAAACAGTTGAAGCAGCATGGGCTCAGCACACTGAAGGCACCCCTTTTTACAGGCTTAAAGAGAATGTGAAGAGGACAAGGGCAGCTTTATTAATCTGGAGCTCTCAACACAAAACACAGAATCAATCAAAGATAGAGACCTTATCAAAGAGGATGGAGGCACTGAGAGACGACAAGTCAGAGGAATATTGGGTTCAGTGGAACAACACTAGGAAAGACCTTAATGCAGCCCACAGACAAGAAGAGATTTATTGGCAACAAAGGTCAAGGCTGAAATGGTTAAAGGAAGGAGATGGCAACACCAAATTCTTCCATGCATACACTCTCCAAAGAAGGAAGCTCAATGCAATCTCCAGGCTCATTACAAATCAAGGTTCAGTACTTACCTCCCAGAAGGACATTGAGGGTCACATCTCAGATTACTACTCTGACCTTTTCCACACTGAAGGAAGTTGGGATGGTGAATCCATAGTGCATCTAATCCCCAAAACCATTTCTGAAGACATGAACCTAGATCTCATGAAACCAGTCACTGAGGAAGAAGTGAAAGCAGCCCTCTTCTCTCACCACCCAGACAAATCACCAGGGGAAGATGGAATGAGTGCCTTGTTCTACCAACACAGCTGGAGCTTGATCAAAGTGGATGTCTTAGAGGCCTTGCTCAGTTTCTTCCACTCTGGAATGCTTTTGAAGTATTGGAACCACACCATCTTGTCCCTAATACCAAAAGTGCCTAACCCAGAAACCTTGAGCAATTTCAGACCCATCAGCCTATGCTGTGTGATATACAAAACTCTGTCAAAGATCCTGGCTCAAAGACTAATGACCTGTCTCAACTGCTGCATCAGTCCCCACCAGTCTGCTTTTGTGAAAGGAAGGCAGCTAATGGACAATGTCATCATAGCTCAGGAATCCTTTCACTTCCTCAATAGACATTCCACTGGCCCAAACTATTTCATGGCACTGAAGTTGGACCTCATGAAGGCATTTGACAGACTAGAGTGGCACTGCATTCACAGGATAATGATTCAAATGGGCTTCCACTTATACTTCATAAAGCTGATAATGGTATGTGTTTCAACCTCTTCGATCTCCTTTAAAGTTAATGGCAATGTGAGTGGCTACATCACACCTTCTAGAGGGATCAGACAGGGGGATCCCTTGTCCCCCTATCTTTTCATAATAGTAGCAGAGTTACTATCAGCCATGATCACTAACTCACATCAACAAGGTCATATCCAAGGTGTGAGACTATCAAGGAATGGGCCTGCCATCACTCACTTGCTATTTGCTGATGACTCCTTGCTATTCAGCAAAGCAGGGGTGGCTCAAGCAAGATTTTTATTAACTCTTTTGGAGAAGTATAGGCTATTCACTGGACAGAGAGTGAACTTGCAGAAATCAGGCATATTCTTCAGCAGAAATACTCCTCAAACTTTGAGAGACAGGATTTGCAGTGTTCTCCAAGGAATAGTCCCTCACAGATCCACTAGGTACCTCGGGTTACCTTTGGGAATTGGAAGGTCCAAGAAAGAGGTTTTCAATTACATCCTGGAAGCAGTCAGAACCAAGCTTCAGAATTGGAAAAACAAGCTTTTATCAACTGCAGGCAAAGAGGTATTAATCAAGTCTGTCTTACAGGCCTTGCCCATCTTCTCAATGACCTGCTTTAAGATTCCAGCTTCTGTCTGCAAAGAAATCTCAAAACTCTGTGCTGCTTTTTGGTGGAAATCTGGTGATCAAGGCACTACGGGCATACATTGGAGGGCATGGGACAGAGTGACTCTCCCTAAACTCAAAGGGGGTCTGGGTTTCCTTGATATCAGCCTGTTTAATGAAGCCTTAATCTGTAAACAGCTTTGGAAGATTGCCACAAATCCCAACCTTTTGGTCAGCCAAATTCTCAAGGATAGGTACTTTCCTGATTGCTCCATTCTGAAGGCTGAGAGAACACAAAGAGGTTCATGGTTATGGAATAGCTGGTTAACTGTGATGCCTTTTTTTGCTAAATGTCTGAAAGTTGAAATCAGGGATGGCTCATCAACAAGAATTGAAGATTTGAATTGGGTGCCAGAGTTAAAAAAGCCACATCCTTGTCTGATAGACATTGCCAGGGGACATTTGATTTGGGTGAAGGACTTGATCTCTAATGATGGGAAGGAATGGAACAATTGGCTGGTGGATCAGGTCTTTGATGCTGAAGACAGCTCTGCAATCCTCAACATTAAAACTCTGAATCCATCAAGACATGATAGGTGGCTGTGGGGCATCTGCCCTAAGGGTCAGTTCTCTGTTGCCATAACTTACAAGAACCTTGCAGCCCAGAAGATCATTCAGTTGGATATTCCTGAGTCAAGCTCAAGTACCATTAATAATAAGCTAATATATACCAGATGCTGGCAACTGAAGATCCAAGGAAAGCTTAAACATTTCATCTGGAAATGCATCACTAATACTCTACCAATTGCAGTAAACTTGAGGAAAAGAGGAGTGGACATTAACCCCATTTGCACAATCTGTGGAGATCTTCCAGAGACAATAGAACATCTGCT